CTTTATAAAGGAGAGTTGATCACTACACCACAAGGATATTCTCGAAACTGAATGGGTAAGTGAAGAAGGGGGCAAACAAGACATTTAATAAAATGTTATCTCAAATAAGTAAACTTTGAATGCATTTATTGTAAATTTTATTAGAGTTTTTCACTAAATCAAGACATAATTTAGAGCCTTTACTCTATTTTGAATTTTGAATTTTGCTTATCAGGTAAGTATTAAGTGGCATAATTTAGAAACTGAATGATAAAGGAATGAATTGTAAAAGAATTTATTCTTTCTTTTTTAGTGCATTAAGTGGTCATATGTCAAAAACGAATTATAATTGCATTGAACTAATTAATATAATCTTGATTGACCATTATTGTTCTAAATTCATGCCAAAAAAGACTACATGACATTGACAAGTTAGTAGAAGCCACTTTCTGGTTCATGAACAAGGACTAGGTCAATTTATTGCATAATTAATAACATAACATAGCCTAATACACATTAAATATATTTTAAGAGTGTTTTAATAGGTAAAAACATAAGGGGTTAGTGCTTTACCTCCAAAAAATTAAAAAGAAAAATGATAAAAAAAAAACATCATGATTCATACTTTAAAAATATGATATTTTAATTTTTTTTAATAAATGTTTATTAAAATGAAATAGTTTTAGAATAATATTCATCTTAATCTTTAAAAAATAAGACAGGTAAATACTATTCCCAAAACATAATGCTTCGTAATGAAAATCTTAAGTTTAAACATTAAGATAAGTGATAGAGATTTAGAACAAATTAAAAAACTATCACCTATTGTAATCAATCGATATCTCCCCATCTATATAAAAATAAACATTGAACATTAACATGACCATCAACTTTTGCGCATCATCTAAATATTAATTGCTGTGAAAACACCTCCGATCACTTCCAAAAGGAGAGAAACTGGTTTCTGTTAGGCATGATCACCGCCTGCTTCTTAACTGCTCCTGTCAACGTAAGGAACATTACGAACCTTCTGTGGAATGGAACAACTAGCCGATTGCCGTAAACAAATGGCAAATTGTTAGCATAATTGTCTTTAAGCATATATTCTGCATCCGCATAACAACAATGTGAAAACTTAAAACCTTCTTTAAGTCAATTTCATATCGTAAAAAAACAGGGGAAATATTGTAACAGACAACAACAGGACTACCTGTTTCTTTCTGTCTTAAGTCTTAACCCAACAAATGGTCGAAGAAAACAATCATACATCTTTTTAAGGCGAAATTAACGGAAGACAACACCAAGAAGATTAGCCAATGAAGCATGTCATGTTTTGTATTTTTTAAACAATTATCTTGGAGTCTTGCCGTTAGTCTCATATGTATTTGTCTGAAACAGATGGCTCCGGTTGGCAACGAAAAGCGACTTGCACTTGGACTCAATGGTCCGAGGAGGACCTTCTAGGACCTTAATTTTTATTTTGACTAAGTATAGCTTTGTGAATAAAAATTAGCTGTAAGGAATTTATGTCGTGTGGGAGACTCAGAGGGGTGCCAGTTGGAGGATTTCGACAGGGCCAAGAGCAGTCAGGGTGACAGGTTTCGATCAGGACGTGTAATATGAAGACGATTTGCAAGTAGACTGGGAAGAAGAGTGAAGGTTCTCTCATCAGAGACTGGTAAAACTATCAAATTATTCAAATAATCATGGGAAATGTTTACATGTGGAATGAATGAATCTTGGAGTGCCTTTGCACTGAGACGTCTCAGTGTTCAAGAATTTAAATTTTTTAAGTTAGAGTTCTTAAATTCAAATTTAAAAATGAATGCAAAAGAGTTTGAGAATCAGGAAGAGAATTTAAATTTAATATCTCATTGACTTGCAAAAAAAAAGAAAAAAAAAAAAAAGAATCTGGGAGTGAAAAGATAAGAATTGTTTGAATCAGGCCCTCAATATGGATTTGGGTTGGGCCAAGTTAAAAAAATGGGCTGACATGGTCCAGAATACAGTGACTAAGATCGTTAGGTGTCTTGGCCTTTATAGAGTTGGGACCAAACCAACTAACCAAATACATATCATGAAGCCATAGCTGTGATTGTTGGCTAACGCAACATATAATGTGTTGTTCTGATGAGTTGAAAACGAATCCAAAAAACTTACCGGGTAAGGTGAGACGTTGCAAATTTTCAATTTCATAACAGGAAGCCATTTTGGGTGTAAGTGAACTCAAATTCAGCTTCCTAGAGAAAACAAAGTTTGAACCCCAACTCAAGTTTGAGTTCGAATTCGAGTTCAAATATAATATTTTTATTTAATTTTAAAATCAATATGAAGTCAAACTTGAATTGATTTCTGCCTATATCCATGGGATATGGCCATGTTAGTGTGTTACACAAAAGGTAGAAAGACAACTTTTCTGAAAAAGATCAGATTGGGCTTCACACTTCCATCCTAAATTCAACCATATGCGTGGATAGACAAACTATAGTGGCACATCTTAAGTGGAGAAATTCACCTCCCTTTT